CACACACACACACACACACATACTCACACACACACCCCCCACAACCTGCCACCCCGTCGATGACCTTCCAGGCAATACAAGTTCTCCATTTTGTGGACCTAGTGAGTGACGTCAGAAGCTGCAGTCAACTCAGAAAAACTTAAAACTGTTCACCACATTTTGTTCGGTTGTGAGCATCTGCTCCTTGCAAGTGTTTTATTTAGGATTTTGCTTGCGTGTATGTTTTCAGTTCACTCAAGTGGCGCTATATCTGAAACTCAAATATAACTTAAGTTTTTGCTAGCAACAGAACAAAAAAAATAATAAATCAACTAAACGACAACTCGTAGCTCAAGGTACCACTGAATATATTAAACACGGTGACTTTTTATGACATTTTAATCAATATTCATGTGTTTTTAACCTGTAAAAATCAGTGCTGCTCTCTGGTTCACGTTCCTCCTTGGTGCTGTTCTTTCTGTGTTTTTCTGCTATTTAAGACTCCAAGGTCTAAGTCAATCAAGATGTAAATCGGAAAAGATGAAAGTTTTCTTAGGTTGTGTCCTCAAGGAATAAGGAGAAATGACAGATTTCAGTCACCAAATGTAGAGCGTAAAAGTCCATCCATCCATTTTCCGATCCGCTTTATCCTTAAAAGGGTCGCGGGGGGTGCTGGAGCCTATCCCAGCTGTCTTCGGGGAGTAGGTGGGGGACACCCTGAACCGGTTGCCAGCCAATCGCAGGGCACACAGAGATGAACAACCATCCGCGCTCACACTCACACCGAGGGACAAATTTGAGTGATCAATCAGCCTGCCATGCATGTTTTTGGAATGTGGGAGGAAACCGGAGTACACGGAGAAAACCCACGACCTCTGCACTGTGAGGTTGATGCGCTAACCACTGGACCACCGAGCCCATGGCGGAGTAAAAGTTAAAAAAAAAAAAAGAAATTGTTTATACAATTAAACACATACAAAAGTTAAGCACAGACATCTGAAAAATCTACTTCAGTATAGCCATGAAGTATATGCACTTTGTTAATTCCCAACACCTTGGGTCGATCGGGCTGTACGTCCTAACATCTTAAATCCTCTGTATTGTGGTCATCTTCAGGTCCGAGCGAGGCTCCATCGGCCGTCTGGTCTACGAGCAGGAAGCGCCTGGAGTGGAACAAGGCGCAGGAGTAGAAAGTGGAGGCGGAGATGGTGAGAGCGGAGAAGAACAACACGGAGGTGCTGGGGCAGGGAGTAGCGAGGCCGAATCACCGCAGGGAACCATCAAACACAAACCAAACGGCCGCTCAGTGGTGATGGCGCAGGGACAGACTCGGAGTTCCGCCCCCGCCGCCGTGCCAATGCCCTCGGCTCGCACCCTGCCGTCCCACATGCTGCCTCACCCGCTCCAGCATGCGCACCCTCACCCGTCCCCCATTCCCCACATGCCCACCGTGCTGCACCACCACCCGCAATACAACCACATGCCGTATGTGCATCACGGCGGGGCAGCGTATGTGCCGCATTTTGCCCAGCACCACTACCACCATCTGCACCACCACCACCACCTCCCACATTCTTACCCGGAGCCCCCTTCTTCGCCCCTGCCCTCGCCCGTTCCGCCGCTCTCCCCGATACCACCGCCGCCACCGCTCACGCCCTCTCCGCTGTCATCTTTGGCGGACGCCCATCAGCATTTGCACCACCAGCCGCACCTGCACCACCCACTTCATCACCACTTGCTGTGCTCGGATGGCGACAATGAGAGCGTTAACTCCACCACCACCAACTCCAACGACGACACCACCGTCAACAACGGCAGCTCGGGCTCGTCGTCGCGTGACAGCCTGCGCGAGCCCACGCCGGCGGCACTCAGCAAGCAGACGTATCAGCGCGAGAGCAGACACAGCTGGGACTCACCCGCCTTCAACAATGACGTGGTCCAGCGGCGCCACTACCGCATCGGACTTAACCTCTTCAACAAGTGAGGAGTTCATTTGTAGAAAAAACAGTTTTGAACATTAACGAAAACACAAGTAGCTTCGGTTCTTTCCAGACTAATTTGAAGAATTAATTTGTAGAATTAGAATTCTACAAGACTAAATTGTAATATTTCCAAATACAAGCACACTGTTCTTTGAAGGCAAAACTATTTTCAAGATTTACCAAAAAAAGCACTTGCTGAGCAAAGCACATTCGTGAGGTTCATTGAAACCTACATTTTCTTAAATGTTTACAAATATATGTTCCTTGAGTTATTTTAAGACTTCATTAAGGAAATTACATCAGGTTTAATGAAGACAAAATTGTCTTCAATGATTCCAAAAACATGGACCCTGGAGTCCACAGTTTTTGATGGTGACAAAAATGTGTTCATTTTGGTTCACTGGAAACCGTGAATGCAAATGGCATGTATGCTGTTTCCTTGGCAGAGGGCTCCACTGTGCTAATACTGTATCAGAAAAAAGGACCGGGCAGAAACACATTCATGACAATGTTTTTTATTCGGGTTGTCAGGAAGCCGGAGAAGGGAATCCAGTATCTGATCGAGAGGGGCTTTGTGTCGGACACACCGGTAGGCATCGCGAGGTTCGTCCTGGAAAGGAAAGGTCTGAGTCGCCAGATGATCGGCGAGTTCCTGGGCAGCAGGCAGCAGTTCAACAAGGACGTGCTCGAGTGAGGACCGCGTTTTCCCATCAATGTCTGTCGTCATGACGTTGTGCGCTAATAACCTGCTCCGCGTTTCTTGTCTTCAGTTGTGTTCTGGACGAAATGGACTTTTCGGGAATGGACCTGGATGATGCTCTCAGGAAGTTTCAAGCTCAGATCAAAGTTCAGGGTGAAGCACAACGGGTGGAGCGGCTGGTGGAGGCTTTCAGGTAGGTGCCCGCCCTTCAATAGCGTGCAACAGAGCTCGTCTGACGAGGATGCTCTTGCCCTGCAGTCAGCGGTATTGTGTGTGCAACCCGGTGCTGATACGGCAGTTCCAAAATCCAGACACCATCTTTATCCTGGCCTTCGCCATTATACTCCTCAACACTGACATGTACAGCCCCAACGTGAAGCCTGAAAAGAAGATGAAACTGGACGACTTCATCAAGAACCTGCGAGGTAAGTTGCTCTTCATTTAGACATTTGTTGAACTTCTCGATAGCTACTCTCGTTACCACTGTCAAGCTAGATTAATTTTGGTGCCGCATATTAATCAGTCACATGCACATTCACACCATCTCTGGATTGGAACCGAACCCAAACTGCTTGCACCAAAGTCGGGCGAGTGTACCACTTCACCAATAGAGACTAAATTATGTTTGCAAAAACAGATACTTTTGGTTCTTTGGAGACTCGTTGAAATCTCTTAAAAGTCCAAAGATTTGAATTGGACCAGCTCCACTTGCTCTTCACTCACACTTCATTCAACCCCATGTTAATTCCGTTTTACCTCCAGGCGTGGACAACGGTCAGGATATTCCCAGAGACCTACTGGTGTCCATCTACGGAAGGATCCAGAAGTGGGAGCTGAGGACCAATGATGACCATGTGTCTCAGGTGCAGGCGGTGGAGAGGATGGTGGTCGGCAAGAAGCCCGTAAGAGCCTCCCGGCTTCCATGTTGCCCTCCACTTGCATGCCATCTCCTCTTACTGAATTATTGACAAATGATTCCTAGGTTCTGTCGCTGCCTCACCGCCGGCTGGTGTGCTGCTGCCAGCTGTTCGAGGTTCCCGACCCGAACCGAGCCCAGAGGAGCGGCGTCCACCAAAGAGAGGTCTTCCTGTTCAATGACCTGCTGATGGTAAGACATCATATGCAGAAAAAATTGCAAGTAGTAGACAATTCTCCAAAACGTTTAGAAATGTTATAACTGGCGCAATCATAACAGCCTGAGGAGCTTCTCTAGCAAGAGATGAACGGCTGGCTCAATAATTAGCCCAATCTACGTACCCCTTAAATGAGTCCATTTCACCATAGCAAGATACTGCATATGCTGTAAAAATACTTGTCTATCATGTCTCTATTTATTTTTTTGTCTTTGGAGTGTCTCTTAACATTCATAGAAATATCAGGAATGGGTAACTTAATTCATGGAGGGGGGGGGGTCACAATTTTTCATCTGCATGACTAAGGGGGGCAACATCGAGGGGGGCCAAATGCATGACAAAAATTACATTTTAAATATGGGCAAAATGCATGCTTGCCCTGGAATAATGAGAACCCATGTGAAAGTGATGCTCATTGAAATGCATTGAGAAACCTCCAATATGCGTGTTGAAATCTTGACAAAAAATATTGGAAAAAAAAATCGCAAATCCTGTGGTTGAGAGGAAAGGAATTTCATCTGTGCTGTATGTTGCACATAGGTAACCAAGATCTTCCAAAAGAAGAAGGCCTCTGTGACGTACAGTTTCCGACAATCATTCCCTCTGGTGGACATGCAGGTGCACACCTTCCAGAGCACTTGTAAGACCCTCTTTTTTTTTTCTTTCTATCTCCAACCTTAACCGTGCACATACAATATAAGAGACTTTGAGGTACACCATCTAATGACATCCAAATATTCTGCTTTAACAAAAATGCTAGTCACATTTGCTGAACACTGTCAGAGAGCTATTTAACCTTCCTCTTATGTTGCAAGTCAAAATGACATGTTTTGAAGTTAAAGATAAACAGCGCAGTGCTTTTTACCACTGATAGACTGAATCCCAGCTTCAACTGTAAATAAATTTGATTTAGTTATAAAAGACTATTTAAACCAGAGTTATATCACATGGGTCCCGGGCCACGTCATACCGGCTAAGTGAGGTTGAAATGGTGAAGAGCCCCTTCTTTAATGGACGGTATGTCGCTGCTAACGACTGAATTTGTGTCTTGTCGTGCCGTCCAGATTACCCTCACGGCATCAGGTTGACATCGGCCAACCCCGGGGGCGAGAGGAAAGTCCTGATCGTGTTCACGGCACCAAGCCAACAGGACCGTGCTCGCTTCACCTCGGACCTGAGAGAGAGTGTGGCCGAGGTGCAGGACATGGAGAAATATCGCGTGGAATGTAAGTTTGGCAACACAGCTTCACCGTTAGCTGATTGACCGAGAAAAAGAACTGAATGGAAGAGTGGGGAGGAGTTGAGCGTACAGTAGATCATAGAGTTTGACGCTTTATAAGCACACGCGTGTATACAGTACAATTGGTAACTCAATAAATAATTCATATTAAATCAGTAGGTCAATTCAAAAAGTTAAATGCAACTGATATGTACTGTGCTGGATTTTAAATTGATTTCAGTGTTTCTTTGCTGACCACTACAGGGAACCCTTGAACTACTAGTGGCACCCATACCGCTCTTTCAGAATCACTGTCTGCAAGCGTTTTTTTTGCATCCAATGAAAAAAAAAATCATCAACAGTGAAAATCATCAAAATACCACAATGGTGGTCCAGTGGTTATTTTCATCTCCTAATTTTTCCCAGAGCTGTACTAAATACATAGCACAATAGTTTTCACAAGGCCAATTCAAATATTATTTCTGTGTTACAAGTTATTTGGTGATATAATTTCATGACTTGCTAAGTTTGGAGTTTTGTTTGATGCAAGATAATATTAAAGAAGTAAATCAAAAAGTCAATATCGAGGGTTGACCACAGTTTTTTATTTAAACAAGGTAATTTGTTGTCTAAGTAAACTGTTGTTTTATTGTAAGAATAAAATCATTCATTCTAATATTAACATTTTATGATCTATAAAACCGGTCAAAAAATGTAAATTAAAAAAAAATATATATGATATGCAATACAGTAACATTTATAAATTAAGGGTTAGCAATAGGTGGATTTTTTTCCTGAAACATCATAGCTAAATATCACAACGCATGGTAAAATTCATATTGCCATAGCTTTTGTAAGTCGAACTTAAAAACAAAAAAAGAAAAGTTTTCAAAAACCTATTGTTTGAGAAAAAAATATTTTTAGGGACACAGAAAGCCATCTGACTGGAATTTTAACCAGTGTAATTAATGTAATTAGAATCATTGAACAAATTATTCATTGTATGTAATGTCTTTTTTGACATTTTTTTAATATGCATTTACAAATTAACAAACCAATTAGCAACAGAGAAAAATTAATTTCGACATCAATAACAATGAACAAATAGATTTTAATAAAGCAATTTTTGGGGTAACCGCACTGTCGTTTCACCTCACACGCAGCCGAGCTTGAGAAGCAGAAAGGCGTGATGCGTCCCGCTGCGCTGATGGCGGGCAGACAGGGCGGCGGGGATGCAGCGGCGGGGCCTGCGAAGAGTGAGGCGGTGAACGGCACCCTGGGTCGGCCTAGCCTGGACGACACGTACGCGTCAGTGGACGGACTCAAACGCACGGCACTCAGCTCTTCGCTCAGAGACCTGTCAGACAGCGGTCAGCACAACTTCTTCTTTGGGGCCGGACGTAGAAAATGGCTTTAAACTCTGTTCCATGTTACGCATGGAGTATTCTGTTCAATCAAAATCAACACGGTTCAAACACATTATTAAGCAAGCAACAATTTAATGGGTAACAGTGAAAAGGAAGATGAAAAGTATAAAAATACTTCCATCCATCCATGTTGTAATCCGTTTGTCCTCACTAGGGTCGCGGGATCCTATCGCAACTGTCTTCGGGCACTTGGCGGGGGACACCCTGAACCGGTTGCCAGCCAATTGTAGAAATTGGAGATTTAAAAAATGGACAAGTAAATTTGGAACAGGAATGGGCAACTCATATGCTGGAAGGGGCCGCAATTCTTTAGCAGTGCCACATATCGGTCCGCACACTTCCTAACCAGATGTATGGCAAAATACATGCACTTAATAGATTTCATTTTTAGAATCCATTTTTCTATTCATGTAACCCAACAGCAAGGGATTTGAAGCAAACAAAAAAATAAACTTACTGTAATTTTGTACAGTCAAAAGGGCTCTCTTACTTACAAATGAACATTCAAGGACACCACAAGACTGCTCAACAAGAAACCAACAATACATGCAACAAGATATTTTATACATTTTTTTCCCAAAAATGAAATGACTCAAAATTTTAATATTATGGCGGTACTGGCGGCCCGGTCGTCGACTGGTTAGCACATCCCCCTGAAAATGCAGAGTTGCAGGGTACAATTCCTGTGTGGAGTTTGCATGTTCTCCCCGTGCTGTGGGTTTTCTCCGGGTGCTCCGGTTTCCTCACACATACCAAAAACATTGTCGGAAGGTTAATGGAACATTCTAAAATGACCCTAGGTGTGATTGTGAGCGTCGATGGTCGTTCGTCTATGTGTGCCCTGCGACTGGGTGGCAACCTGTTCAGGGTGTACCCTGCCTCCTGCCTGATGACAGCTAGGATAGGCTAAAGCACGCCCTGCGACCCTTGTGAGGATAAGCGCAATAGAAAATGATGGATGGATTGAGGTTCTACGTTTTTCCTGCATGTCATTCCAAATCTGCAAAAAGAAGGCCAACTCACGTCGGAGTATAGGGCAGTATAAGACCGAGTGTAAGTACCATCTAGTTTTGATTGGTGATATCGCAACTTAAAACAATAGTCAACCCTTGTATATTCGCAATTCGGCACCCATTGATTTGCATATTTGTGGATTTTCTTTTCATTTTTTTTTTGTACCTGTATTTGGAATTTGTCCTCTTTTTCCCGAGAGAGTTTTTCTCCATTTCCCAATGTTTTTTGAATATCATATTATTCATAAAAGGTTATTCACTTGTATCCAATCTAAAGTTCACTGTTGCATAAAATGAATTAAAACATTATAATGACGACTTGATGCTGCTTCTTCCCCTGATGGACAACTTTTAAACTGTTCCTACATTCTGATTTGCCAACAGGGAAGCGAGGTCGTCGGAACAGCGTGGGCTCATTGGACAGCACAATAGAAGTAAGGATGATGTCATTGAATGTTGCATTTGATCAGATCCACCAATCGGTAAAAAACGGTCAAAACAATATTAATCTGCGATGGCTTTCTGAGTCTCGAAAGATAATTTTGATGCTTATTTTAAAAATGGCTTTATTTTTTTCTGAGCAAATCAGGCTTTTAAGATGTTTTATATTTTTGAGACATTTTAAAAAGCTTGCGCAGGATGGACTAAATTTACTATGAGTTATAATTTATAGCTACGATGAAAAAAATTGCACCTGTTGCTGAATTCATAAATATTCCGAAATATATTACTATATTGTTTTTTTCCGGGTATTCTGGTTTCCTCCCACATTCCAAAAACGTGCCTGACAGGTTATTTTGTAATCCACTTATCCTCACAAGAGTTACGAGCGTGCTGGAGCCTATCCCAGCTGTCCTTGGGGAGTCGCGGGGTACACCCTAAACTAGTTGCCAGTCGATCGCAGGGCATACAAAGACGGACAACCATTCGTGCTCACAATCACACCGAAGGATGATTTTGTGTTCCATTAACCTGCCATGCATGTTTTTGGAATGTGGGAGGGAACCGGAGTACTCGGAGAGAACCCACGCAGACACGGGGAGAACATGCAAACGCCGCACAAGAAGGCCAGAGCCGGGATCAACCCCCGCACCTCTCCCGCCCCCCTGCCACAACTCTGCACTGTGACAGCATTTCTGAAGGCTGGACTGTGTGTGTGTGCGTGCGTGTGTGTGTGTGTGTGTGTGTGTGTGTGTCTGTATGTGTATATAT